CAACACATCTACTTATTTCCAGTTGTTTACTGCATTTACAAAACTTCTACCACTTCAAATGGAAGACCAAAGGGATAGGGGCTGAGACGTTCTCCTTCAAAGTTTGGGGGTTTCTTTCACAGACCTTCAAGTAGAAGGTTTCCAAGTTTTAGCTGCTAATCTCCTCAAAGGCTGCATCCCACCAAACACTTGCCAGCACAGAGATCTTGTTCCTACAAGTCATATCGGTATGAAGGTTTACTCAGAGTACCTGAGCTAAAAGCACACTGCCAGCATCTCCCATTTAAAAGGCTTGTGAATTTTAAATATTGGCGTTTCTGAATTTGTAGCCTTTCCTGTTTTGCAATAATAATGCTGTTCTGATGAAGCTCCTTGAGGTCGATACAACATGATACAGTACATAGCACATTCTGTATCCATGATTTATAACAAGTTTGGTTCACAAGTACCAAGAATAGAAGCAATTTCCTCCAATTTCCATGTCAATATACGGTACACACTGTGTCATAACAGTACAGCAAGCACCTTGCTGGTGCCTGCAAGAGTTCTACCAGCCACTATTTTAATGGGCAGTTTGGAACAGAAACAGTCATCTCTTCTGTTTTTAAGACTTTTTTGACCTGAATAAGCACATTAGCGTTCTTCAGTTGTTTCAGAAAGCGATAAACATCAAAAGCAGCAGCACCTCTGCCCTCATAAGTACCTGGTTTTATAAGGCACTAGAGAATAATACTAAATGGGGGAAAAAATCACTACACTAGAGGTCCCTTTTTCCAGATCCCAGTCCAAGAAGTCTATATTCAAGACACCCACCAGTCAAAACCAAAATGCAAGTCCACTACCACTGAAGGCAGTGTCTGGGTTCCAAGAATCCCAGCAGCATTTTTTCTTCCGGAAGGTTAGGACAGGTTCTGAGCTTGGCAAGACTGCATACACCCCTGGGGCTTCTAGAGCAGCCTGCCATTTGCATACCTCTCCCAGCTAGTAGATCCCTGATAATCAGTTATATCCAGTGGAAGACTCACAGTTTAACAACTAAAAAAAATAATTTTTTCCAATGAAACTAAGCAAGTATTCATGGTTCTGACTCAGAAGTCAACAATGGTCATTTCTGTTCTGAAATACAGTTTCTCCGAGTATCTAAATGAAAACACCTTTCCCACCCTTCCCAATTTAAATACACCCAAGTACAACTTTCAGATAGCTAGCAGTGGGAGCACCCATAGCTAGCATCGACAAATGGCCTCTGTAACTCAGAGACCAGTAAGTTAGGAAAGTTGTCCTACACAACGGCTACTAATATATAATCTTCCCAAGTCTTTGCAGTAATTCCAAATGAACCAATGGCAGTTAGTATTATTTCCAGCACTTATGTTTATAGTGCTGTACAGACATGAAGTCACCTTCATGCTCATAATGCAGCTCTTCTGGAATAAGCCAAGAAATTGTTTTAAAAAGCTACAGAATAAAAATGGGCATCTGCAATAACGATGCAAATTTAAGACACCTTTTTGACAGGAAATGTCAAAGAACAGTTCTTCTCTTCGCTCCTAAAAATGGCAAAACAAAGCAATGAATTACTGCATCTTGGGAACCCTTATACTTGTGATACTTCCCTCTCAAAAAAAAAAAAAAAAAAAAAAAAAAAAAAAGCATCAGTTGTCACCTGCATTTTTAAACTGCTAAGTCTCACCTCACATTTTTCTTTCATGTAAAACTAGGAATATCAAAATGTATCCGAAACAAAGCTTAAAATCTGTTGGGTCTCTCATCCCTGCAATCTAAGTAGCAATCAGGAGATCCTTTTCCGCAGGGGTGAAAGACATGAGTGTATGCACTGAACAGAAATGCTCTTTTTAATGAACCTATGTATTCTTAATAGCTACCAAATTTAGACTTCCCAAATAAATCACTTCTTGCGTTAAGAACGAAGACAAAAACGCTGAAATAAGTATCACAAATAGTGTTACGATGAGGAGCGACCTGCGGGAGGTTCCCAGGCAGGATTCTGCACTCAGCAGCAGCCAGCACATAGCACCAGCTAGATGTCACCGCATCCTCCCTCCCTCCACCGGCACGCAGGCAGGACTCCGGCCACGGGAAGCCTGGGGGCAGCCCCCCACCACTTCCTCCGCCTGCCTGACAGCCCCCAGCCAGCCGGCGAGCGCCAGCTTCACCCTTTTTTCCCTTAAAGGGCTGAGGAAACGCGCTCCACGTGGGGAGATGCCGGCAGGACGGCGAGCTCAGCCTCCCCTCAGCCCTCAGCACCTCGCCCCCCGGCCTCACCCCATAGCCCCCCCATGTCCCCCAGCCCCCCCCCGTTGCCATGCCAACGCCCCCCCCGCCGTTACCCTCTCCGGCGCCCCCGCGGCCTCCGGCTCCTTCCTGCCGCCCCCCAGCAGGGTGGCTCTGCGCTCCGCCGCGCTGGCGGCCACCGCCCGGCCGCCTTCCCTCCGCGGCGGCGGCTGAGGAGGAGGAGGAGGAGGAGGAGGCGCCGCCGCTTTGTCCCCCCGGGAGCGGCCCTTCCTCATCGCGGCGGCGGCGGCGCCTTCTCCTCAGCGGCGGCCGCGGCGCGGCTCGGGCCCCATGGAGAGTCACGGAGAGCCGGGGCGGCGCCGCCGCCACCGCCGCCACCACCGCCGCCGCCACCACCTGCGTGCGGGGCGGAGGGACATGCCCGGCCCCCGGCCGCCTGTCACGGAGCGCGGGCGCAGCGGCTGCCGCGGCGCCGCCTCCCCCCCTCCCCCGGCGGCCGCCTCCTTCTCCTCCTCCTCCTCCTCCTCCTTCTCCTCACAGCCCGCCCGCCGCCGCCTCCTATCGCGAGAGCAGCCGCCTCAGAGCGGGAACAGGCGCGAGAGCTGGGAAAGGGCGGGAAGGGGGTGAGCGCGAGACCGCGCCACAAGGTGCGAGGCGGGAAAGGCGCGCGGGAAGCTGAGGGGAGTCCCCTCAGGGGCGCTGCGCTGGGGCTGGTGCCTGGGGCAATAAAGACATTTAGAGTCACAGAATCATAAAAGTTGGAAAAGATCTCCAAGATATCTGGTCCAACCATCCCCCTACTGTCACCCACTAACACACGTCCCTAAGCACCACGTCCAACCTCTCCTTAAACAACCCCAGGGACAGTGATGCCGCCACCTCCTATTTACTCGTAGGCAACGCCATCCCCATCGAGTCCTTCCATGCACTCTTTAGTTGGAATGAGATCCCGTCAAGGAGCAGATGAAGGTGTAATTCACCGTCTCCTCAGTAGAGGAAGGCAAACCTACAGATTCATTACCTCAAGGAGTAATCAGAGCATGTATCATCATCTTGTGTTTCATCTCGGTAATTCACGCCCTTTCTGCATTTTTGCCTTTGCAAATTATTTCCTGAGGGTGTAAGTTACGAGTTTCTGCATCCATTTTTCACAAAATAGCTTCAGAGTTGCCTTCTTCCTGACTACGTAATAAGAGAGAAACTTTGCTACTGCTGCAGGAAAAAAAAAAAAAATCTGTTTGCCAAGATGAAAAAGTTCATACATCCTTCAAGCAGAAAGGCTGATTTTATAAATTATTTATTCATTTTGTACAAACAAAGACAACAAAACTACCCTTTTAAATGATTTATTGATGTACATGAGTGGGAGTATTTTAAAGTAAGTATTAAGAAAATTTAAATTCTTGCTGAAAACCATTTGAGGATGCTGGATTAGTCACAGAGATCTTTTTCGATTATAATTGTATATGAGGGAGATGGACAACCATGTGGAATTTCCCAGCTGGGAATCCTGCCCTAAGTAAATGTAAATAATGCAAATTTATGGAATCCTGGCATCCGTGATAATGTCAGTCTATTAGGATGGCACCGTGCCTTGTCATAATTTGGCTGGATCTTTTCCCTGTTGCAACATAGATGCCAATTAGTTATGTGTTGGTTGTGGCCTGTGGGCCACCTTGCACTGGCTCACACCTGTTCTCTTTATGTGCCAAAAAAAGAATTCAGAGGAAGAAAAGTCGCAATGAGAATTTGAATAACGCAACCTGCCTTTGAAACGTCTTAAAAGCAAATCTTCACTTGTGAATTTTAGATAGAATTATAAATAATTGCCTTCTGGTCCAGTATTTTTCTCAAAACAATTTTAAAATATTTTTTATCATCCTGGATCAAAAAGCCACTTGGGATTTGATAGGAGGTCTTGCTTGTAAAAGATTTGTGTTCAGTTTGCTTCAGGATTATTTACTTCTCAGTTTAATCCCTGTTTAGTATGTTGGACTCAAGATGTCTTTTCAATATTTTTGAAACAAAAGAACTGAGGTTTCATGTTGAATGTGTAGGAAAAATACTCATTGTACTGATTTTCTCGTATTTTTTCTATTTAAGCTCTTCGCTGAATATGGCCTGAATCTGCAGACCAAGCTGATTGACCTGATGTTTCTTTTCCATATGAGCTTTGTCTGAACTCTCTTCTTCCAACTTTGAGTAAAACTTTGAGGCTTAGCAGGGAAAAAGGGTAAGGATGAATGAGGCAGAGCATGGTGCATACAGTTTTCATCTCCAGAGATACTCCACCACATACAAAAAAAATAGAAGAGTAATTAATGAAAGCTTGTAAAGGAGCTGATTCTTCACGTTATCCAGACTGTCTAACATAAAGCAAAATCAGGGGACCACAGGGAGCCAGCATGGCTTACTTGCAGATACTCACCTAATTAATTCTGTTCCTCTCTGCATTTCCAGATTCTTCCTTGCCCTGGCTTCCACCTTTCTTTTCAACCATACAAAGAATGTCTGAGCAGGATTTTCCAATTCGGAAGGTAGCTGGAACAGTGCTATCCATGAAGAATTCCCTCATGTTCTCCCCTTGCTGGTTTAAAGAGACTTTGGTATGACAGAACACAAAATCTAGTCCAGCTTATTTCCTAATATTTTCGGAAAGGACAGAATTCTATCTGGAGCAATTTTATGACTGCTGAGCACACTGCTCCAGTAATAATTCCTGGAGCTGGAGTAGAAATACACAGTTTGAAGCTGCAAGGTTAAAACCTCTTTATTCCAAACAGAATAGAAAATGCAAAATAGTAGTGTTATTAGGGTGCTGCTGAGCAAGAGAATTTCCTCTGCAAAATGAAATACTTCACCCGATCATTTCGATTCCTATTAAAGTGAATTCCAGTGTTTAGCAAAACCAGTGCAGCACAACAGCCAGCTGATCACCTAATTTCACTGTTCCCAAGGCAGAACTGCACCACTAATGCCACCAAACGAGTATATTGCTATGGCTTGTCATTTGTCATTTTCCTCACGCAATATCCATAATCTTCACTCTCAGTATTTCTGCTCTGTGTGAGATGGAGGAAATGGCTTTAGCTGTTCTGCATGTTAAGCTGTCACGCACCTTCTGTTAGTGACCCAGTTCTAATGGTATTCACAGTGAAGTTTTGGTCTTTACGCTGGAATACTAATGTTAGGCAATTGGCAATATGCTGCCAGCCCTGAAGACAGCACAGTACTGTGGGATATGTTGTACTATACCTGCCTAGAATGTCTTTAATGACAAGTAATTATGCAGGCTGCATGTCGTCAACGTGACTCCTGGCTATTTCCTTAACTTCACCTCTGTGACAACATTCTTTTTTTGAGATTCACTAGAAATACAGCATGATACAACTACATACCAGTTGTGAGCAAACCAAAACAATAAAGATAAAAAAATGTAGTTATGTAGACTGCAGGAAGAGTAAGAGTTGCTAGGAAAAGGTTTGACTAAGGCTAATCAGTATTTATAGAATAGTGCCCCACTTGGTTCAGCAAAAAGCAAGACGCCAGCCCCAGCTCTGCCAGGCTAGCCAAGCTCTGCATGCTGCCTGCACAGCTGAGAACTGCAGCCAGAGTACTGCTCCCCACCACCAACCCCAAACTCCATGAAAATGGTGAAAAATATAGGATTTTCCAAAATAATGCAGGAGAATTTTTAAGTATAGGACTTTGACACACTGTAGTCAAAATTATTCATGATGTGGATCTAGTGAGGTCTGCTATTTGAGAAGTTCTGCGTTAGACTTTTGTGTAAGTGATAATTCTCATAATTACATACAGACCGTTTTTACAGGAAAGATATAAACACTCATGTTTTAAGGCAGACACTAATCACTGAAGTAAGGAAGAGTTGGAAGGAATTTCTTACAGGCAGGTTATTCCATAAGATTATATAATACATATTCTGTGTCTTTACTGGAAACTAATACTATTATTCTGTCCCTGAGACTGACTAATACAGTAAACCAACTGACAACCTGGTCCAGGATGGCAATTGCTGGATCTATATATAGCAGAAGTCGGGTCATAACACAATATTATTTCCTTTCCAATTGTTATTTTCCTTCTTTATAAACTGTGAGGGACATTTATCCTTGTTTACAGTGATGCAGTATGTCATAGTGACAGCTTTGCACTGCTGTAGCCTTGTTCTAGATATCATTTACATCTGGTAAGGAGGTAGAAGATGCAAATACACAAAACCTGTGAGGTTTAGGGAGAGCTCAGTGCAGTAGCTAAGTTAACAGCACTTCTTAGCAACAAAAACTCAGCAAACACATCTTAGCTTTAAGGAGACAGATAGAGTCCAGCGAATACGCTGCCTTTGCAGTCAGCTTGGACTTGCACAGCAATTGCCACAGTAGAGCTGTTACCCCTAGGGCTAACAGAGTACAAATTCCATATGTGTATAAATATGTATATTTGGGCGTATTTCTAGAAGGTCCAGAAAAGGAAACACATGGGAACAGAGAGATGCTGGCCAGCAGGAGTAGCATCAGATCCTATCTGTTGTCACCTTCTCTTTAGGCACCCAAACAGAGATGACTTTTAAAGAGGGCTGGCGAAGATGAGACAAGGTGATAAGGCTGTTAATGGAAATGCCACCCAAATATGAGGTGACAGGTACAAGAAAGCAAGCCACTGAAATCCAACAAGTGGAGAATGGTGCTGCAACACTTCCAGGGACTTAACCTGTCTGTATTGAAAGAGAGAGAAAGGTTGTAGAGAAACTACAAAGGGATTGGAAATGAAAGAAGTTTTTGACTGATAGAGAGGAGCCATTTGAGAGATGCAGAGAGAGAGGTGACAATGTAAAGAAACAAACTGTGAAAAAAATACCTTTTCTAGGAGTGCTGTGGTTAATTTTCTAACCAGAGATTCACCATGAGGCAATGAATGAGCAAAGCTTTCTAGAACTAATAAGGCATGCATAGGAGTCATTCCGCACAGAAGTCAGCAGAGACACTACAATGACCTCAACTGTGTCCTACTTAAAACTCATCCCTGCACTGATGCTAACAGGAAAAGCTCAGCAATGATTAATCTGGTGGTTTCCTGCCATCGCCTTTAATATGCTGACCAGTATGAGCTCACTGTTACCTTGTGTTTGCATTGTTTTCTTTATAGACCTTGTGTTTGCATTGTTTTCTTTATAGACCTGTCAGCTCTAAATTTTGATTACAAGGTGTTCAATGTACCAATGAAGAAAAAACAGAACACTCACACAATGGGGCTCGGAGGCTGGTGGTTCTGACTTAAAGTACTGCCAGTCCTACCCTCCACCGTTTGTCTCTCTCATTGTGATATACCGCCCTTGTGTTCCACACAGCAACACAACTGTTTCTACAGCTGTGCTATAAACTGGACTGGGAAATTGATTTGGCTAGAAACACTGGAGGCGGGGAATTGCTGGATTTCTTTTTTTTTTTTTTTCTGGATCAGTTCCCCCATCTGCTTGGGAGTACAACCCTATCCGGGTTGTGCCAGCACAGTGAAGGGAATGGGGCGGCACAGGGTGAAGGCACGAAAGGGGGCTGTGGGACATGGCCATCCACCACCCGGTATTGGCACCAAATATTTCCAAACACTACGTCACAACTTCACTCAGGGACATCTATTATTACCTCTTTACACTCATAATTACAAACACTTATAATTAAGTGTAAATTTAAAAAATAGTATTCATACTCTTCTGCAAAGAAATACATCATAAGTAATTGTAGACAATTCAATCAAATAGGAACAGTCTAAACCGGGGACAAGATTGCAATTGGTTAATTCTGGAGTATAGGTCAAGCTGGACCCACATTTTCTTTGTCACTTGTGAAAGCCCACATCACAGCAGTCAGTCAGTAGCTATCCTAACCAGAGCCTGTTCTTTGTAAAAAGAAAAAAAAAAAAAAAAGGAAAAGAAAAAAAAAGCAATAATTGGTAGTGGTTCAAGGAACCTCACAGTAACAGACTAGCAGAACATGAAAGGCAAATGAAAGACTAGGGTAAGAGAAGAGCATTCAGTAATGCTTTCAAGAGGTTCTCTCAGCTCAGCAATATGGTAAAATAAGAAGGTTTTTGCCCCCTTTAATTTTGAAAAAAACGAACATGGGGCTTAAAGTAACATTTTTGTAATGATAATTTTGTTGTTTGGGTTGTGATTGGTTTTTAAGTCTACTACTCATTAAAATCTCTATTTTTTTTGCCCTTTTTTTCCCCCACTGACTCATTCTCTTGGTTACATAAAATTACTGGTGCGTTTGTCATTTCTGTGCTCTTTTGGAGAACTAGCACAACAACATTTGTGTACTCAAAATAAAACAAAGCAAGTAAGCCTTACTTCATACCATAATATAATTCTTACACAGGCAAAATAAAAGGAGAAATACTGGCCCCACTGAAGTGAAGAAAAACAAGATGCACCTTGAATTCAGCAGTGTTAAGATTTGACCTCAGCTTTTTGTTTCAAGTCAGGAGTGCCAGACTGAGTCCATCTGGAGTGTCTCCTTTGGCATTCAGCTTGACTTGTGACATGATGCGTTCAGCAGAGACTTGTGAATATGAACCCACGGTTCTGAAGCCTAACAAAATAAAAGTCAATTATGTACACTTAACTGGTCAGCAAACAATATGCCACTTATTGCAACTTTAAATGCAGTTCTGCAAAGGAGCTTCAGGAATGACATTAAATTAGATAACAGCCTGTGTTCCTCATTACATTTCTTGTCGCAGTTAATGAGAAAAACACTTCCATCTTCTGAGTGTGCAGGCTCATACTGAGATATGAGGAGCAAGCAGATTCATTTCATTAACACCCACTGCAATCTATAATAAATTTGTAACGGGCCAAATACTCTCATTTATGCTCCTGAAACTTCATCTCACTCCAGTCACAGTGTTGTTGCACTTTCAGGATGCCAAAGAGGGAAACAGATCTGGCAATTGTCACAGGATGGATGTGCAAACAATTTTCCCCTTAACCACATAAACTTTGCAGAGTTAACAAGAATATAAAACCGTAAAAGCTTACTTCAGTCATTAAAGAGATCTGACTCACAAAAAAGGAATCGCTCTGTTGAGTTAGGAGATGTCAGTTGACATAGTTACTAAATTGATAGCCAGAAGCTGGAAAGTTAGCAACTAGCTAGAGTTGCTTTATTTCTTATACTTTTTTAACCTAACGGCCCACGAGGCTCTTGCCAGAAGAAATTTACTCAGGTAGATGGCTCCTGAGCCCTTGCTTAGCAGTGTTGTGATTTTGGAATAGATACATACTTCTACTAGAGTCACAGGCCATTATCAACCAGATCATCAGTTGATAATGTCATAATAATTTAATGTAGTGATGCCAGGATTACTGTCTGTGGCGATATCTTTAACATCATGCATGCTTTAACTCTATATAGAAACTTTGAAAAGATTAATAGAAGTTCACAGGGCAATAATATTAACATTAAAATTAAATGGTAATAGAAATAACTCATTCAAGTGTGGAAGGTGTAAGAAATTTCCTTTAACAAATTTCTTGGTATAATACATCACACAAAACTACCCAGGGAGTACTTTAAGAAAAAAGAATCAAGATTCATTTCTCAGGTGATGGAGATGTATAGCTGAGATCTCTAAAAGCTCCTGAGCCTGAGCCTGCTTACATGAATTGCTAACCAAAGCCAAGTCTGAGAAATCACAAACATATGACAATTTTCCTTCCTGCTGCTAGAAACTCTGCCTAATCTCCCAGCAAGTGGTCCCATTTGGCTCATATTCCAAGCCTGAAAAAGATCCCAGTTTCCTATAGCTTTATATAATTTGTATGTCAATTCTGTAAACAGAGGCATTACAAGAAACCTCTGGCATGCTAACACCTTTACAAGTGTGCATGCATTTCAGGCAAACCAAGAAGAAAGGCACAATACATGTACTATTTCTGTGCCTTTTAGCAGGCTGGTGAGCCCATCCACTCATCCCAGCGTTTAAAGTGAAAGCTTATATTGCACAGCAGCCCTCGGTTTGTACGAAGACACAGAACAAAGTACCAAGAAGTATGCACAAGTCCTTTACGTTACAAATCAGCAAGGAGCTCCTTTAGTTTCAGCCAACACAAGGTCAAGCCACTTGAGGTGAGGGCATAGGTAATAAGGTAGCAGATTTACTTCAGTTTCTTCTATACTTACTTTATGCCTCTTTAAACTTTTCTTAAGCGAATTCATTCTTTAAACTTGTTAATTAATGTTAAATAAACTTTTTAATTAAATTCATTCCAGGGAAAAAAAAAATCAGCTGATCTGAAAATAGCTTTTTTAAGCCAGCAGCACTTTTGCCTCAAGGCTAGAGCCAGAATAGGAATCAATGCTTATAGTTTAATAGAGATTGGTTTATTATCATGCTCAGCAAGTTTGCTCAATGAATACCACACTTCCACTCTGCCAAAGTTTGCTTTTTTCAAGCAAAAAAGGTTTGTAAATACTGACCCCAGAGCATTACCTGACAAACCACTGTTGTGTTTTAAACACAGAAACAAGAGATGCTATTTTCCTTATGTATCTAAATAATTGCAGGGTAGTCAGTGGTGTTGCTTGTTAGAGAACTCAGTGAGATTTGATTCATCAAAGTACAACTGTTTGTAATCACCAGGTCTACCTCCTGTGATGGTTTATGTCCAGATGCAGAATCCTCCCTGCAGAAAGCACACCTCGCAGTGACATCTGGTCAGGGATCACTGTCAATGGGGCAAGCGACAGTTTCTTCCAGTGCTTGTGACACCACCTGGAAGGTTACATATAAGGCATGTAGAGCAAGTGGAGCAAAGAGCAGCAGGTTAAAAACAGAATCTTTTGAACAAAGAGCAAAGACCTGGGAATCAGGAGATACAGGTTCTCTTCCAGGGGCTGCAGTAAAATTACTGTGTAACCCAAAGCAAGCTGCCATATCTATAGTCAAAATTAAGCCAGTCAGGCTGAATTATGAAGTGCTGTTTGCAATGTCTCTAATTCAGTGAAATCTGTGATAAGAGCCTAATGAAACTGGTGTAAAATTAATCTAATAATTAATAACAAATCATTGCAAAATCAGACGGGGGAATAGTTGTATTTGGTATACAGGAAAGCTGTTGTTTTTCTAATTCAAACCTATGTTTGTACTTTCCTGTTTATCATGTCCACATTTGCAAGCAATAAAAGGGCATTATGTGCTGGTCATTCCATCTGCTTTTGAGATAAATCTATGTTAGCATTTCAAAGGGTCAAGGAACTCTCCAGGGCAAACAAATTCTGGAGCACTGATGCCAGATGGTGTGTATATAAAGCGGAAAATGAGAAAAGCAATTTACTCTGGTTCTGTTCCGGGGAGAAGTGTCACCCAGGAGGACAGCAAAAGAGGTGAGAAACTACTGAGGAACTGTACAGGCAATTTCCTTCTTCTGTATCATGATGTTTTCTTTACATCTGAAAAGTTTAGGTACATGGAAGAGCTGTGGTTCTTATTCAGGCAAAACTTCCAAAAAGATACTAGGAATATGTAACTAAAAAAATCAGGGTTAAACTAATAACTTTTATAAAGAATTATGCATTAAACTATGTAGCATGTTCTAGATTTATCTGTATAACTAACTCAATATGTAGTCTTTTAGAGAAATTTTAGTCTCACAGACAAAATGGTTTTTATCTTCCATGTTTGACTGAACTCTACATGAGAGGCAGAAAATAAGTGATCAGATTCTTAAAAATAAGTTAGCATAACCTCACTGAAGGTAAGGTGGAATTTATCCAACTCAGGTGCTGACCACCATCCTATAGTCCACTGTTAGCTCATCTGTGGCTGCATTAAGTGTTTTTATGTCCCAGTGAGCATAAGAACTCTGCAAGTTTTAGGACTAATCACTCTTTTCTTCAAATCTAGTGAAGCAGTGGAATGTCTCTCGGAAGAAAAAATCATCAGTATAAGAAAATTAAAATCATTTTCTTAAATGCTGAAAATAATAATATAGTTTTATTTATTTCCTGAACTAATGCTTTTTTTCATTGGCCACCAAATGTCAAAAATATGTAGCAGAAGTTTTTAGACATGAGCAGAGGAAAGGGAGAATGGGTGACCTAATATTTATATGTGCATCTCTGCTGAGCATATTTTAATTGTTTATATGTGTGGCTTTTCTTAAAGCAGACCTTTGACTTTCCCTAGAAATAAAGGGCACCAGTAAAGACTTCCCTCCACACAGGAAAAGAACTGAAAAACAATGCTGAGGTTTGCTGTCACCATCTTCGCTGTCATAACATCATCTACCTGCCAAAAGTATGGATGTCTGGAAGGGGACACCCACAAACTGAAGCCAAGTCCTGAGCCAGATATGCACGAGTGCACGCTGTATTCTGAATGTAAGAGTGGAAATGGTTTTGCTGCAGCTAGCCTGGAAGTCCTGCTTCGTACACCCTAATTGTTCTGGCCATTCCTGTAGTTTCTTAAAAACATTTAAGATGCAGTATAAATTGCATTTGAAAAACCTCCCTCAATGGCATTTTGCAGCATGCAAATCAAGAGGAAGATTCTGGTTCTTAACAAAGTCAGCTGCAAAACTCCCAGTGGCTTTCTTTATCATCTTTTAAAAAACCTGATGCAGTTTACTTTTTTTATATCTCCATCTGCTTGAAGAGCTTTACAGCAAAGATGGCCCATTGTCATTAAGTGAAAAAAAAAATATTAATTTAAATATTAATTTAAATGTATTTCCCTCTTGATTGTACTAGTTAATTAACTACTGTCCCTATTAAATAATTGAAAACAGCAATCTTTAATTAACTGTAGCAGATTACAATTGTGTGTAGTTTTCCACACAAATTGGAAACAGTTAAACTTCCATAGTGAGCAAAGTAAGCATATTTAGTGCATTTCTTCAATTCTCTTTTTCTGTTTGGTAACTTTTAAAATGAGTACCCCTCAGCATATAACATCTGGCAGAATACTCGTAGACTTCGTGGGGCTGACTGGGCACCCCTTTACAAAGCAGTGTTGATGCCAGTCCCTCTCACTTCTCATTTACACTGCTGCTTCCAAAACCAAAAGTGTAAGAGCCTGGCTGCATCTGGTTAGTACCAAGAGACTTTATCATGTTATGGACCAAAAAGATTCATCCTACATTTTTAGTCTTCCAAACATAGTGTTAAAGAAAATCCTTACTGTAAGATCTTTGTTTCATTCCCAACAGCTTCCTGTTGCTATGCAAACTTCACAGAGCAATTGGCTCATTCCCCAGTAATTAAAGTAAACAACAGCTACTGGAACAGATGTGGGCAGCTCAGTAAATCGTAAGTCAGCTTTGATGTTGTCTGTGTCCTGGTTCAACAGAGCTGTGCTGTGGCAGCCACACAACGAACGTTAACTCCCTGCAGACGGACTGTCCCTAGGTTGCCCTGGAGAGAATGCCACCCAGTCCCCTTCCATCACCTCCCCGCTGTATCTGACCAACACCAAGCCCTTCTTTTTCTCCTCTCACAAAGCCCATCAATCCCTAAGTACACACGGTTTGTGCAGAGGAATTTATGCCTCTTTATCAATAAAAGATTACATTTTTTAAAGTTTGCTTTCAGTATAGAACCAGATCTGGCACTGCAAAGCAGACAGAAATGCAACAGGTAGCAAGCACGCTGCACCTCTGCACCTCTACAAAGCAACCGGCACACAGCAGCCAGTGTGAACCCTCCTCAGCACAGGCCAGGTTCCTGTCCTTGTTAGGAAAGCTGATCAACTAGATGATTAACTCTTCCAAACAAAATTCACAAGAGGACAGAAATAAAAACTTCTGAATACTTAGAATAAAAATTCTTGTAGTCCTGTGGGTTTTGTAACCATGAAGAATGTCTTCATAATTAAGATTTTTAGTACCCTGTTAAATGTTAGAGCTGTGAAACATGGCAAGATACAGAAATGAAAGAATGAAAGTACAAAACAATTAAGCAAAAACAGATGTGCAAAAGTCACAGCCATTGCCTGCCACTCCCAGAAGAGCTGTGTTTTTAAGTAACTTCATCTGGCTGTGGGAAAATCTGAAGATTAGTGAAACCATTAGACTACAACTTAGAAAAAAAATATTGTACTATAGTTTTAAAATATTTTATTATTGCCTTGAATCATCTATGCCAGGAAAACTCAAGGCCTTGAAAGTTTATGGAAAGCTTACACAAATAGGGTTGAAATATGCATGGAAACATTTGTGCAGCCTTTAGTTGGCTACGGTAATTGCACGGTCAGAGTCTATACACAATGCCAAAAGAATGAGTTTGGAACCTAGCTACAAACAGGACAAAATGATACTTTTCTGTGTTTTTCTCCTAATCTACAGTATTGTATCCACATCAAAGCAGGTCTAGAAAATAGAAGTTATAGCCCTGATGCTGAGAAACGTGTTTATTTGTGGCATTTCTCACCCACCACAGCTGTGAAGATTTCACAAAGAAAATCGAGTGCTTTTACCGGTGCTCTCCACATGCTGCTCGCTGGATCCATCCCAGCTACACTGCTGCTATCCAGTCTGTTCCACTGTGTAAAAGCTTCTGCGATGACTGGTAGGTTCACCTTGTTATCAAAGTATCTTTATTTCGTTTTAATATGCCTGTGCTACTCAGGTGTCAGAAAGCACAGGTGCATGAAGCACAGACTTCCTGAGCAAGTAGCAATAACATTTTATAGTGCTGCAACACCTTTGTGGCTTTTCACTTGTTTTTCCTGTTTGTTTCTTGTTTGCCATCTCTACCTTTTCCTCTGCTAAGCTACTGCCTCCAAAACAATAACGTCACAGGCTGAATGCAGGATGGAGTCATTTTTTGTCACAGTTTAGTGACTCAGACAGCACCGCCCTGCTCCCCATGAGGAAGAGTGATGCAGCGGCATCAGAAAAGCATGACATGAGAGAGCATTCCCCACATGTACAGGCACTAACAGCAGTGAGGGCCCCTCCACCCCTTGAAATACCCACATCTGTAAGTTAGCATTTATTCAGTTAGCATTTCTAGTCTAAATACTTGACCATTAAATGACACATTTCTTTTTGTGTGTAGAAATGCACTACAAAATCATAAAAGCAGCCAGGTCATGTATATTTTGATTTTTTAAATATAATTTAATCGTATTTAGCCTTTTCTTTTTCCTACCATAATCCCTGTCTCCAAAGCCACTTCTAAAAGCTTGAATCTCAGAGAAACTTGCAGACAAATAATGCTAATAATAATAACAGTAATGAGCAAGTGTAATAGCATTTAATTTTGCTTCCCAAAATACAGCATCAGGGAATCACATTACTTTTTGAGTGCAAGACATGTATTGGGACAATGCAGCACCCTCCCCCCATCCTTAGTCTTGGAGCAGGAGCATCATATCTAGGTGGAGTAATAAGATTTTTTCAGGGGTCCATATCCAGCATGTATCTCTCCCTCCCTCCCTGAGATGTTCCATTGTAAATAATGTCGTCGTGCCTTATTCAAGTCCCAGCATCACATTCGTGTTGTGCCTGGTAACTACAGTAACTTGTCTGCATGGTTGAATTGGTGTGAAGCATGGTACGAGCAGCACAGGCTGTGATCACACTGTGGGACTGTAACTGCTAGTGTCCCTTGAAGGTAGTGAACTGTGAATGTCTGAACTCCTTAGGCTGCCCTCAAAATCATGGAAAAGTGTTTTCATACTTTAAAAATGTTACCAAAGAGTTCTTCTTGGAAGCACAAAACATACAGAACACATGGTAACATACAGCCACGTTCTCTTTTGTGCAGCTCTGT